AAAGAAAGAAAGAAAAAAGGAGAGGACACAGAGCTAAGTGAGGGTCATGTCTTTGAAATATCATAAAAGAAGAATAGAACTTGATAATAAACTGGAACATAGGGAAACAGAAGGTAAAAATTTGACCGAAGAGAATGAGTCTGGCAGATTACATTCTCTTAATAATATTAAGGCTAGGAAGAGTTGACAATTTGGGGGGAAATAATCATTGAGCCTGTTTTAAGACTTGATTTTAGGATTGTTTAGTCAGTGAAACATACATCTGGAGGTGTCCTGTAGGCAAAGAGACTAATGGAATTTAGAGGATTAAAAACAATCAGTCATAGAGACAGGAGGCAATGTTGTGTGTGTGAGGAATGGAGAGCAGTCCAGTCTAGTTGGATTGTTGAGTTAGGGAGCAGTATTGTTCAATGGATATAGAAAGACAGCTTGGGGCTAGTTAGGTTGTAAAGGACTTTACAAGCTAAACAGAAATGCTCATATTTTATCATAGAAGCAGCGGAGAACCATTAGATTTGATTGCATAAGGGGGTAACATTCAGATTTGAGCATCAGAAAAATTCCCAAGATTTTTCTTGGGGAGAGTCTTGAGGAAGGGAGACCAATTGGGAGGCTATTGAAATAATTCAGGTGAGAAATGATGATGGCATGAATAAAGGAGGATTTTTTTTTTAAAAAAGGAGAGATTTGGTGACTGAATTCCCATGTAGGGTGAGGGAGAATGAGTAGAAGATGACATCAAGGTTCAAATGTGGGTGACTGGAAAGATGGTAGGTAGTGTAGTAATAGGAACATTTAGGTGAAGAGTTTATTTGGAGGGAAAGATTGTGACTTTTTGTTTTGCACATTTTGAGTGTGAGCTGTCCCATTGGAACAATGAGTTTGAAATGTTCAATAAGCAATGGTTGATATAAGACTAAAGTTCAAGAGAGACTAGGGCTGAAGAGATAGATGACAGATAGATAGATAGATAGATGACAGATAGATAGATAGATAGGTGGATGACAGACAGATAGACAGATAGATAGATAGATAGATAGTAGATAGATGTATATCTGTAAGTCATCTGCATAGAGATGATAGTTAAATCTATGGAAGTTGATGATGTTACCAAGAGAACGAGTATAGAGAGAGAAGAAAAGAGGCTTCAGGACAGAATCTTGGGGAAGGTTGACTGTGTGGACTTCAAAGGAAGAAAGGATGCTGAGTGATTATAGCAAAAGAAGCAAGGGGTAATTCCAAACCCCACTGCCACCTCCACCCCAGGAGCAGTGTATGTGTATTAGGGAAGGGTAAGAGAAGATACAGAGCAGCTAGTTGGTGCAGTGGATAGAGTGCTGGGCCTGAAGTCAGGGAGACTCATATTCCTGAGTTCAAATCTGGCCTCGGACACTTAGTAGCTGTGTGACCCCTCGGCAAGTCACTTAACCCAGTTTGCCTGTTTCCTCATCTGTAAAATGATCTGGAGAAGGAAATGGCAAACCACTCCAGGATCTTTGCCAAGAAAATTCCCAATGGGATCATGATGAGTTGGACACAATTGAAAATGACTGAACAATAGCAAGATAGGGAACAGCCAGACGTGTTCTGACTTATGTATACTGTCTCCCCATGAGAACGTACATGTCTTGAAGGGGAATATTTTTATCACTCCTTTTGGATCTTCAGTGCTTGGCACAGTGTCTAGCAATATAATAGGCTTATGCGTTTCTTCCCAGATTGACTGCAAGGTTCATAGAATCACACAACTTCAGACACTTCAACACATGCATTTTTCAGATGATGAAATGGAAACTCTGAGAGAATAAATGATTTACCCAAGATCACAGGGGCAGCAAGTGACTCTGAGGCAGGTTTTGAACTCAGATCTTCTGATTCCAAAGCCCACTCTCCTGCTATTCTACAACATTGCTTCTTAGTGCTTTCCAGAAATAAACAATTTGTTTAGCAACAGTTGTATTATTCCAAGGTACCTTCCATTTCTAGATCTATGATCCTAGGATTACCATAATTATGTAGAGAAGGGATGCCTCATTCCATAGGAGCATTTTACATTAGCTCTAATAGACTTGGGGCTGGAAAGAGTGCAATCTCTATATGAATCACCAGGTGGCACCCTAGTCTTGAACCTCTGGCGCTGCCTTCCTAGCATATGCATGAGTAGAATTTTGGAGGTCTGAGTCCTGA